AGGTAGGGCCCTACTTATAGGATACAGGCCTGGAGGTTCCTTGCGTTACTGCTGAATAAAATAAACACTAAAGCCAGTTCTGCTCCCCAAGCCAGGTCAGGGATTGTCACTGCTGTGCCACCAGGTACGTTCAGTTATTTGCAGGGCTAGACTAACCCCTCACATCCACTCCACCTCCAGGGCATCCCCACTGCCCCTCTCCGGGCCAGCGCAACGTTACAAACTGCTGCAGGCACAATTTACTGTGCAGAGCAATTCCTGACATCTAGCTGGTCTCTTTTTCTGCCTCTGCCTTTCCCCATCCTCTAGTGCAGGGCTAGGAAGCTGTGATGGAGGGGGACCACAGCCTGTCACATTTTGCTCCCATTCGGAAATCTCTCTGTTAAATTTGGGCACACTAAAAAGAAAGGTATTTTTCCAATTTGGAGAAGTATGCTGCAGAGTTAAACCTCAGGGCTATTGTACATAAAACCCGGCATGAAGGCGGACTTCTTCTTAACATACACACAACGTGACTAGTGCACAGGCAGTGAGTGAATCCCTACTTCGGGGAGGCTAACACACAGGCCCCACCCCTTCTGCCCATGTCTCCCACACACACACAATGGCCAGAGCCCCGAGGCCTCCCCCCTGTGGCCAGAGGAACCCCACCTGTCCCAGCTGCTCAAGCCACCGGCCAGCCCCGCACGAGCCCGGGCCACTGGCCTGACCCCTGGGCCAACCTGAGGCACCCAGGATGGCCCCAGCCCCTGGCGGGCCTGAGCTTCAGGCTGCCAGCTGACACTGACCCCCCACCAGCTTCAGGGAAGAGGGGGAGGGAGACAGGGGTCTCAGGGTGGAAGATGGGAGGGGCCACAGCCTGGGTTAGGGGAGGCTTAGCCTGCCCCAGCCTTTGATACCTACTGCCCATGGCTGGCACGTGAGCAGGATTCATCACTGAATTTGGTCCGCTGGTTGGATCATTAGCTTCCCTGGCCCGGGCTGGGTACTGACGGGGAGTGAGACGTGTACATTGATTCATGCCCCCCATGGAGGTGGTGGGATTTCTTTCTTAGTCTCTTTCCACTGTTGATCAGGCTGTACAGTTTCTAGAGTGAACAGACTTTTAATGTCCACAAAAAATAAGTGTAAAGCATCGAGAACAGGATTTGGAATACTTATGAATCCCTTCTAAACACAAACGATTGGGCAGAATATCTAGCACTGTTCCTCAAACAGACTCCCTCTCTCCCCAATCCCCTCCCGTCACTGTTACTCGCATCGAACAAGTGGTCAACACCAAATTCTGTACTTTGGCACAGGTAAGTGTCATTTCAGAGACATCATTTTCTCAGCCCTTTTCCTCACTGCTACAAACTGAAGTGCCCTGTCCAGGCTGATTTTAGCTTCAGAATAGCTCCCACATCTTAGTTACCCGCAATGTAAAACAAAAGAAGTCACCTTCTTTAGCAGTGAGGAAAAGGCCCAGGGGCATGACTGACAAAAGGACTGGAGCATTAAAACGCTCAGGGCAATTCTATGCCACAAAATTAAGGTGACCTACGTTACATCAATGTACAGTCACCACAGTAACTGAATCAATTTTACACGTCCACACTATGTTCCCTGTATTGGCGGTGAGCGTCCTCACCAGGAGCGCTTGCACCGATCCAACTGCCAGCGTGGGGCATTGTGGGATAGTTTCTGAAAGGTGGCAACAGTCGACATGAGCAATGCAGTGTCTACGCTGACCCTGCGTTGATCTAAGCACTACGCCTCTCACAGAGGTGGAGTTATTAAGTTGGTGTAGCGGGCAAGTTACATCAGTGAGAGCAGGAGTGCTGGAAGCTCCCTAGAAGTTGGAGGGCAACTGGTGCCCAAACCGTGACCACACCCCCACTCTGCCCCTTCCCCCACAGCCCCGTCCCTGCCACACCTTTCCCCCCCCAAGGTCTTGCCCTTGCTCTGCCTCTTCCCCTGAGGCCCCGCCCCCCACTGGGAATGGGTGACAGGGGATGGATCACTGGAAGATTACCTGTTCTGTCCATTCCCTCTGGGGCACCTGGCGTTGGCCACTGTCGGAAGACAGGATAGTGGGCTAGATCAGGATAGTGGGCTAGATGGACCTTTGGTCTGACCCAGTATGGCCGTTCTTATGTGAACAACTCATGTTTACTGGATCCTAATGTTGTTCCACTGATTTTCTAGGTGCCTAAAAGTTAGGCATTGCAGCACGGAAATCCCTTTGTCCATCCAGCCCTCAGTGGCTGCCACAACCCAG